GCAGATCTCATCTCATGTCAGACACAAATTGATTCTTCTCTGTCACGCAGGTATCTTTTCGTGACATTACCGTACCTGTTTATCTTTTTCATTAGCAGCTAGTAAAAGGTATTTCCGCGTTTCCGTCAGTCCATTACGCGCCTTGGCGATATTAGCGTCTATCGGCGGAGTTTGCTCCAAAAAGCTCTCCAATCTCCCTTCCCCGTTCAGGAAATTCGCCAGGCATTCTGTCGTGCAAAATTGACATTACTCAACATTAATGTAAAATCCCTCCTGTATTTAAATGCAAACCGCAGGTTCGGATATTTAATAAAGAATGGAATTTATTTAATATTTAATATCATTTGAAAGAAATATTCCACGGCGTTCATCGATATTACTGCGATACGTCAAACGGTGTATGTTATATAAACATCTTTTTCTCTGCGTGTTTACCACGCAGAGGAGCAATTGCAGGAGTTTGAAAAAGAAAAAGCGACGTAAATGATAGTGCAAAACGTTGTAGGAACAAAAAGTAGAGGAGAGATACGCGTAACTATACAATTAAATGAAACCAGCGTGACATTTCGTTCACGCAGATGCGGATATCCTTGATCTTTAAATGACGTGACATCTTTTTTTTTCCCTCCAACCGTCTCTTTCCCTCTTTCACGCAGAAGAGAGCTCGCAGGAAACAGCGGACAGCGGGACGTTATCGAAGCGAGGATATACGTGGCGTGGGAGAGACGACGGAATCGCGATTCGCGACCGAGGAGAGGATGAGCACAGCGGATGGCAGGAGGAGGGAGGGAGGGAGGACGATAGGAAAGGGAGAGACATTTACCGTTGCTGGGGTACTGCACTTTCAGGTGTTCCGCGAGCTGTATAACCTTCTGCCAGTTGCCATCCTCGCGATTCCGATCGATCTCGGACTCGATGCGGAGGGTATGTCCCTTCTTGCTCGTCATCGCGCACGACGGACGTCGGGCCGTATCACCTGGCGGTCCAGGCCTCAATCGGTGCCGGGCAGCAGCAGCGGCAGCGGCAACGTAAACGTCGTGAACGCGGCGATGTATCGATCATCAGTGGCACTTGCTCGCGCGGGATCAACACGGCCGGTCATGGCACTTGGGGCGAGGAATCCCGTCTCGCTCTGCGAACGCAGACGACGAACGCGACCGCCCGCGGACACGTGCGCGTGACGAACTGTCACAAACGTCACGGAACCCCGCACGCCGCTCGCGCGACCCGTTCCGCGACGGATTTGCATAGCCGCGTGAAGTCGGTGAAGTTCGTGCGCCCCCCGATCAGCAGCCAATTACGCGGCGTAATTCTCCAGCTCAGGCCCCGTGATTGGCTGCCTCTCCGTGAATCCGTGCATAAGCTTTCGAGAATTATATCCAGACATGCGCATGCACAAAAAAAATCGACTAATTATGCGTTTAATATGAAAATAATAAATGATTTAAATGTTTATTCGAAATAATTTCTTTGTGTATATGCAGCACGCAATTCCGAGCTTTAAAAGCGTATTCACAGGTCTACATTCCTGCTACTTTCAGTTGTACGTTCTGCACTTTATTTTGCAAAGGCCTGATCAACCAATCGCGTTCATCTATTTAGTAAACGTGGCGATATGGCGCCTCTTACGAAAAACGTGAGAAAACGTAACGGAATAGAAAACCAAGCAATCCTCCATATTTTTGTCAATTTAAAATAATTTAACAGACATACTGTTTCTCCATTTCTTATTTTATCGTAAATTACAAATGATATGTACAATACATTGCAAATATATAAAATACACAAGAGGATGTTACCTTTTTCTTTTTACAAATATTAATTATTCTTGAACTAGTATGTCAAATAATTTTCTGTAACGTTCCTTCCACTTGGCTCGTATGTCAGCTATATTATGCTGTAAGAAAAGATTAAAAATGTATACGTATGTCATCTGTTAAAAAATATATATAGATTGAATATACATGAAGGCTACGGTCAACGTGACGCTACAAATGCTTCGAAGCATTCCTCTTCTCTTTTCTTTCAATGAAGAAAGAAAGAGAAGAAGAACGCTCCAAAGCATTTGTAGCGTCACGTTGACCGTAGCCGAAGTGTTACAGTACCTGTAATATATGTACACCTCGTTGCGTGAGTACAATCAGTTCCTTTATCCCATCGTTCGTTATGTCCATGTAGCTTATAGAGTGTACAGGAGCGTC